TTAAAATTATGATAACCTATTTTAAACTGTGAGTAGGCAACATATTGCCATTGCATTGGGAAAATCTGCTGTCAGAGACCTTTCCAGGGCGCTAAAGAGCAACAGTGTCAGTCTAGAGACTAAGGTGTGCCTGATCCAGGTCACAGCTTCTAAGCTTTTAGTTCGAATATTTAAATTATATTCTTACCATCAGATTATTTTTAATTAAGGGAAGGAGTTCTTTAACCTAAATGATCTATGCTGTCACTAATTAAAAACCTATTTTTAAAAATAACAAGCCTGTCCTTTCTCCAATGAGAGGCAAGGCTACATAAAGAACGGGTAAGCCTGTCCTGTCCTATAAAGTCACGTATGAGCACTTGAAATGTGACTAATCAAAACTATCTTAAGTACATAATACAAATAAGATTTTGAAGATCTATAACATTAAAAAGAGGCTGGGCTCTATGAGGAGAATTGTGGCATCAGGATTGGTGGAAGATCTATTAACAATCTGCATTATGCAGATGACACAACCCTGCTTGCTGAAACTGAGGAGGACCTCATGCACTTGCTGCGAAGGGTCAAGGACTGCAGCCTTCAGGATGGACTGAGGCTCAATGTCAAGAAGGCAAAGATTCTCACCACTGGACCAATTGGCAGCATCAGGATGGATGGTGAAGAGATTGAGATTGTTCACAGCTTCAGTTTGCTCAGCTCCACGGTCAATACTCTTGGCACCAGCAGTCAGGAAATAAAAAAGCGTATCGTGATGGGAAAGTCTGCTGTTAGGGACCTCTCTAAAGTACTCAGGAGCAACGGTGTCTCTCTGGAGACTAAGGTGCGCCTGATACAGGCCATGGTATTTGCAATCGCTTGTTATGCATCAGAGAGTTGGACAATAACTAGGGAGGACAGAAGGAGAGTTGATGCCTTTGAGCTGTGGTGCTGGAGAAGGGTACTGAATGTACCCTGGACTGCCAGGAAAACAAACGGATTTGTCTTGGAGAGGATTAAACCAAGCTACTCCTTGGAGGCAAGGATTCTGGGGCTTCGTCTGACATACTTTGAACATGTTGCCAGGAGGGACGGGTCCTTGGAGAGGGACATCATGCTGGGAGGGTGGAGGGACAGCGCAGGAGGGGAAGACCCTCTATGAGATGGATTGATTCGGTGACTGGGGTAATCGGGATGGGTGTGTCAGAGGCAGTGCGGTTGGCGCAGGATAGAGCAGGGTTTAGGGCTGTTGTGCATAGGGTTGCTATGAGTCGAAAACGACTCGATGGCACATAACAGCAACAACAACAACAGCAAATTATAACTCAGGTCCAAAACACTGGTTCTGTAACAGCCAGTGTTACGAAGCGCTTTCAGTTCTGTCAATGATGTTTCCCACCCGCCACTCCCAATAGCCTGGACGAGGACATTTCAGTCTGGCTCCATGAGACAGTAGATCCAATTCTGCTCCATCTCAAGCCAGTCTGTTGTTCTCTGCCATCTCTGCTGTTGCTCTCCTATCTGGGTCTCAGTCTTGTTCGGCAGGAATCTCTGGCTCATATAATGTGCTGCATTCTCTGCTTTTTTTCTTGATAAGGAGCTTTCATAGTCTTCGGGTGAGGAAGCATGCTGTCAACACAACGGCATGTGGTTCAAATCCACCTACTGCTCCATGGGAGAAATATGTCGCAAGTGACTCTACGGCACATAACAACAACAACAATAACATTAAAAAATAGAAAAAAAGAGTGTTAAAATATCACAATAATAATTGCATATGGAAACAATAATATTTTGGATATATGTATGTTAACTAATTAAGTAAAATACACTACCAAAATTAATTTCACCTCTTTCTTCAGACCTTTTGATGCAGCTTGCAGTGTTTCTGGTAAAGAGTATTGGACAAAGTGATTGTTGTTGTATGTGCCATCAAATCACCTGCAACTCATAGTGACTCTATGCAAAATAACTCTGAACCCTGCACTATCCTAAGCCAATCTCACTGTCTCAAACATACCTGCCTCCATTATCCCAGTTACTGTATCAATCCATCTCATCCAGGGTCTTCCTCTCCTGCACTGTCCCTCCACCCTTCCAGGTATGATGTCCTTCTCTACAAACTGGTCTTTCCTGTCAACATGCCCAAAGTGTGTGAGATGGAGTTACAGAATCCTGGCCTCCAAGTAGCAGCCTGGTTTCACCCTCTCCAAGACAAACCTGTTTGTTCTCTTGGCAGTCCATGGTATGTTCACTACTCTTCTCCAACACCACAACTCAAAAGCCTTGATCCTTCTTCAGTTATCCTTATTCATTGTCCAGCTCTCTAATGCATAGAAAGTAATTGCAAAGACCATGACCTGTATCAAGCACTCCATAGTCTCTAGACTGACATCATTGCTCTTTAGCACTCTGGAGAAGTCCCTGACAGCAAACTTTCTCAATGATATTCATCTTTTAATTTCCTGACTGCTGGTGCCAAGAGTGTTGATTGTGGAATCAAGCTACCTGAAATTGTTAACAATCTCAATCTCCATGCTGCCAATTGGTCCAGTGCTGGGAATCTTTGTTTTCTTGATGCTGAGCTTCAATTCATATTGAATTGAACAAAAAAGTGCAGGCCAATTCAGTCTTCTAAAGACAAATACTGCATAAGACCATTAATGTGAAAATAGGATAACTAATTGTTGTTATGTTCTGTAGAGTCAGAACTGACGCATAGCTGATGCTGTGGTGGGTTTTCAGAGACAGTTAGTCACACAGAAAGAGACTGTCCAACCTTCTCCCTAGGAGCAGCTAGTGGCCTCAAACCACGTGCCTTCGGAACTGCAGCACAGCTTCTTGTCACTAGGCCATAAGAGCTCTAGAAAGATGTATATAAAAGTCCAAAAGGGGAACAGAAAGGGGCAGGAGGAACCAAACATGGGGAGCGGAGAAATCACTAAGATAACAGAGTTTGGGGGCCTGGGTGAGGGGATGAAGGAGTTAGGAAAGATCCACTGGGGATCTGGAAAGACAGGGTAATAGCAGACATAGTTCAATGGTGGTTGATTTTCTAAAACATAATGTCCATATGAAACATAAGGTGAATGAGGAAAAGTACATGAATGAAACACAATGTGTACAAATCTTATTTTTTTAAAAAACGAACCCAAAAATAAAACAAAATCTCTATGAAAATAAGGAAAAAGTGAAAAGTGCAGGCTAGATCCCAGAAAAGGTGGCATCATTCTGAGCAGTGGTCACTCATGGGTCCAGGTCTCTACAGAGCTCACAGCACAGCATGCAAAGCCAAAGGGCGCCCACGAGTTCATTACATAATTCTTGGAAGTGTGAGGCCAAGGGCGGCTCTGCTCCGGGGGACGGTCTGCAGGCTTGGGCAGGCTGACGAGGCGGTCATAGCGATGTTTTCACAGTGTGCTCCAGGTTGTTTGTTTGGAAAAAGACTGGCCGCGTTTGTGTGTGTGCATGTGCATGCATGTGTGTGTTTTCTTCTCCTGCATTCCCCACCCGCATCTTTTAAGCACTCTGGCATAATACTGAATGACTTTGTTTTTAAGCTGCTTTAGTCTTCTTGGTGAAGAAAAAGCCTGAGTATTATTTCCCTGTAGGACACAGTTGTTATTTTTGGCGTAGAGGTGCTTAGCCTGATCTCTGTCTAAACCAATTTCTGTTCCCTGTGAAGTGTGAAAGAAGTTTCATCAATTGAAAGAGAGGTGACAAAGATTTGGAGGGGCCACTCCCAGAACATGTTTGGATCCCTATCCCACCTGCAGCATGTGCCCTCAGAGAAATCACTTCTTGTGGAATATTCTTACCCTGTTAAAAGCACAGAATCCTCAGACCAGGTTTTTTCTGCTTATACTTCTAAGGTGCGTCTGATACAGGCCATGGTCTTCGCAATCACCTGTTATGCATCAGAGAGTTGGACAATGACCAAGGAGGATAGAAGGAGAATTGATGCCTTTGAGCTATGGTGCTGGAGAAGAGTATTGAGAATACCATGGAAAACAAACAGATTTGTCCTGGAAAGGGTTAAACCGGGTGGCTCCCTGGAGGCAAGGATTCTGAGGCTCCGTCTAACATACTTTGGACATGTTGTGAGGAGAGACCGGTCCTTAGAGAGGGACATCATGCTTGGGAGGGTGGAGGGACAGCGCAGGAGAGGAAGGCCCTCTATGAGGTGGATTGATTCAGCGACTGGGCTAATTGGGATGGGAGTGTCAGAGACAGTGCGATTGGCACAGGACAGAGAGGAGTTGTACATAGGGTCGCTATGAGTCGCAGGCGACTCGACTGCACATAACAACAACAGCAACAACAACATACTTCTTAGTAATTTGGGGCCAAGGTGAACTCAACTTTATATTTATACTTAAGTGCAAGGTATTTTCCCCCCATCACAGATAACTTCTGAAGGCCCGCCAGCCTTGTGGGAGAGCCACCAGCTCCCCAGACTGAGTACCTGTATTGATAACACTACAGTCTCCAGACCCAATGTTCGCAGCATCCTTCCACAAAGCATGGAGGAGAACCTCTCCAACCTGTTGCAAACCCTGGGATTTTGCACAGCTTGCATCTTGTGGAGAACATGGATATTTGGAAGTTGTTTACAAGATTGCTTGTCAGTGCAAAGGGTATTACAATTCTTTGGGAACGGGTTCATCTTCATAGATTCATGGGGCAGCTATTTAAGAAGAAAGCCCCCCCGCCCATCACCACCAGAAAAGGCCAGAGTGGAGCAAGCAGACCAGGGCCTGCCTGTCAGCCTGAGTTAGCCTTTGATGAGAACATGACTTGTAACGTGCCTAGACTTAACTAGCCAAAGCTTCTTAGAAGAGAAATCTCTTGCTTTCCACCCCTTAGCACCCTGCAGCCAGGTCCACCTGCAGATGAGGAGACTTGCTGCAAATCCCCTTGGAAGTCTTAGGGCCAAAAGCAGCCATCATAACTGAGTGAGTGCAGGCCCCAGCCTTCAACCCTTCCTTCATTTCTCATTGGAAGCAAGCCTCTCTGCCATCGCCATGGTTGACATCGGGGGCTTGGACAACCTGATCGCCAACACTGCCTACCTGCAGGCCAGGAAGACGTCAGACGGGGACTGTAAGGAGCTGCAGAAGCGCCGGCGGAGCCTGATGCTGCCCAGCCCGCAGTGCTGCGCCGAGCTCCGCCAGGCCCTGGCCCCGGACTTCGACAGCCTGTGTGAGCAGCAGCCCATCGGCCGCCGCCTCTTCCGGGACTTCCTGGCCACCATGCCCAAGTACAGAGAGGCCGTGGATTTCCTTGAAGAGGTGCAGAACTGGAAGCTGGCTGAAGAGGGTCCCGCCAAGGCCAGCATCCTGCAAGGGCTACTGGCCACTTGTTCTGGTAGTGCTACCCCCGAGAAACCACATCCCTTCCTCAGCTCAGCTCTGCGGGCCAAGAGCCAAGAAGCCAGCACCAACGAAGAGAAGGTGGCTGCGGTGGCACTGGCCAAGGCCGAGACCATGACCTTCTTGCAAGGCCAGCCTTTTCGGGACTTTCTGGCCAGCCCCTTCTATGAGAAGTTCCTGCAGTGGAAACTCTTCGAGATGCAACCAGTATCAGACAAGTACTTCACTGAATTCAGAGTGCTGGGGAAAGGTGGCTTTGGGGAGGTAAGTGTTTCAAGGAGTTCTGAGCAGGAAGGTGACATAAACAGTACAAAAGTTGATTTGTACAATAATGGTCTTATACAGTATTTATCCTTATAGGAATGAGTTACTTCACTTAACATAATGATCTCCAGTCCCTCTCAAGTTAGGTAGTGATTTACAAAATCATTGCTCCTGCATGCTGTGTAGTATTCCTTCATTTCTCAAGAAATTGTTCCATAATTATTCCATAATTTCTCAAGACCGTTGTTGTAGAAATAGATAACAAGTAAAATGTATACAAAGATCTAAGGGGAGGGGGAAACAGAGGGGCGAGGAAGGGTGGGGGCAGATAACCAGAGGGGTGCACAATTTGATGTGTGGAGGGAGGGGTATGTAAAGGAAATGGGAAAGATGCAGTGTGAAAAACAATGTACATGAACTTCATAAATAAACCACTACAAAATAAAAATTTTAAATGAAAAAAAAGTTGTTTTGTAGGTTTGGGAGGGTTTTTTAACCTCAAAGGGACTTACTGCAATTCCACCCATGGAGAATCTCAGCTCATTCTTCTTACCTTTTCTTTCTGGTCTTTATATAAACAAGATGAGAATGGCAGAGGAAAGACAGAAAAAGCATAGAATTGATCCAGAATCCTTACCATAGGAACCAATTCAGAAACACACTAGAATGCTCCAGATACTTTGTAGAATAATGACAACATATCAAGGAACCCGTTGATCCCATTTCCCTCATTGCAGTAAACGAGATTGAGATAAATGTCAGTTAGCTAAGAAAACATATCTTGCAATGAAGCTGAGAAACATCTACTACTGCTGGGCCTCTTTCTGGAGAAACCTCCTGTCTATAACTTGGCTTTTCCCAGAAGCCTGCTGCCCTCTCACCTGGCCTGATTCCCTCACTCTCCTCTCAATCCCTTCACCTGGTCCACATTGCCACTACCATCTGCTTCCACCTCCCCCTCTCTCTTCCTTTCAGGTCTGTGCCATCCAAGTGAAAAACACTGGCAAGATGTACGCCTGTAAGAAACTGGATAAGAAGCGGCTCAAGAAGAAAAATGGCGAGAAGATGGCTCTATCCGAAAAGGAAATCTTGGAGAAGGTCAGCAGCCCTTTCATCGTCTCCCTGGCCTATGCCTATGAGAACAAGACACATCTCTGCCTGGTCATGAGCCTGATGAATGGAGGAGACCTCAAGTTCCACATCTATAGGGTGGGCGTGCACGGCCTGGCCATGAGCCGGGTCATCTTCTACTCTGCCCAGATGACCTGTGGTGTGCTGCACCTCCACTCCCTCGGCATCCTGTACAGGGACCTGAAGCCTGAGAACGTGCTTCTGGATGACCTTGGCAACTGCAGGCTATCTGACCTGGGCCTGGCTGTGCAGATGCAGGATGGCAAGCCCTTAACCCAGAAGGTGAGCAGTTCTCCACCCACCCCAGGATGTGGTTCGGAGTCAGAAGGGGAAGAGGACTGTTCTAGTCCAGGGCAAGCAGAGCCCCGAGCTTAATTGTTCTAATTTCGTTTGTCCTAAGGCCTTTATGTTGTCCTCTTGCCTTAAGTGGAGTGGTGTAAGAAGATTAGCTTAATTGGTTCTGTGGGATCTGCTTTGCTCTCCTCACATGGAGGTTGGGAGGGGAGGGTCCATTCTGAGCTGCTGGTCCTCTGCACATACTTGGTAAGGGGGGAAGAAAATGGAATTCATCAGGATATAGGTGTATTTCTATTATTAGCCACCTCCCTGGTGCCATGTTCCTAGACCAATAGTCTTGTCTCCCTCTCCTAGAAAATGAAGGGAGTAGACCTGAAGTTGTCAGAATCCTCAGAAGTAAATGTTAATACGAATAAAAGTCAGCCCAGACAGACATTTAGGTCATATAGATTTGGTGCTGTGGAGGAAAGTCTGGGCTAATATCTAAGTTATCTAGTGCTGGAATAATGGAAACAGGACAGACAGGTGGCTGCAATGAGTAGAACTTGACTTTCTTGAAGTTGAGGAGGCTGGGCATTCAAATTCAAGGTCCTGGTTGTGGGGGAAGATTCTCTCTTTCTCTTAGCTTTGGAGAGAGATCTCTGTTGTATCTGCTCCCTGGTTCCCCGGAGATCTCATCAAGCATGACTCCTTACCCCCACCCCACCCCATTTTGCCTTAATTTCTTGCTCAATCTGCTCTTTTTAAACCCCTGAAATGTTAAGATATACCTTACTTTAATATTGACTTATACCCGTAAATAATCCCACACAGGATCATAACATAGTAGGATTGACAGCACATATTTTTGTTGGACACAATTCAATCCATAACAACTAGATACTGGGATTTTGGAGTCTTGATGGCTTGAGAATCAGCAGGAACCAGAGAGTCGCTTGGGAGGTAGGGGGGAAAGAAATCTAGGGACAGGAACTGAACCAAGCAGCACTTGAGAGGTGTGGAAGAAGGGGGCCCCTAGAGAGATAAGAAGTAAGAGAAGAGGTGGAAGTGTAGTCATAGGACCACTGTAATTTAAGGGTAAATTTGAGCAGCAAATCATCATATGTATTGTATTGTATTGTATCATATCATATCGGGTTATTAGGAGCCATCAAGTCAACTATAACTCATAGTGACCCTACGAGCAACAGATACGAACCCTGCCCTATGCTGCTCTCACCCATTACTTACAGTCACTGTGTCAATCTGTCTTGTTGAGGGTCTTCCTCTCTCTCACTCTCCACCTTTCACAGCATGATGTCTTCTTCCAAGTACTTCCAAGGATGTGGCCCCCCTGACGACATGCTTAATGTACGCGAGTCAAAGCTTCACCATCCTTACCTCTAAGGAGCACTCTGGCTGAACTGCCTCTGAGGCAAACCTATTTATTCTTTTAGCAGTCCCTTCAGTGGATTAAACAAGATAGGAGTTTGTTTGTCTTATGTAATAGTGTGGAGGTTGGCAGTTGCTGCTGTTAGTTCAACAGGATGATGGGATCAACATCTCTGTCACTTTAGCCTTTCCCCTATGCTACAGAATGGCTGCTCCAGCTCCAGCCATCATTCCATCCAAACAGGAGGAATTATCAGGATTAAATGAGAATACAGCACAAGTTAAGTGTGTCCTCCTTGAAGGAGCTCTCTTGGAAGCCAAATCTAATAACTTTCATATCTCTCTCTCTCTCTCTCTCTCTCTCTCTCTCTCTCTCT